GATTAAAAAATTAAGAAAAGGTCAAGAACCAGGTTACGATGTCTATTGTGCACACTGCTTGGTAATATTTACATGGGAAACTTAATGGATTGGGGAGGCGTGGCCAACTCAAAATGGTGTCAAAATGGTTCAGTCAAATATCACGTGCCAAGTGCAATTACATTAGTTTTACATCCAAATAGGCTAAAAATTCTTTTAAGGATAAAGCCTAGAGTAACCAAAATGTCTAGAGGGAGGAAAATATGTTAATAAAACAAAATAGCTGTCTTAAATATTTCAAATGCATAATTGAAGAACAAATGGATTTTGTTTTAATTTCTACCATGCTGAAAATTTTTACTGTTTTTCATGCTTATTGTAGAACTGTATACATGAAACCTATATGATTCTATTAAACTATGTCACCATAATAAATTTTTAAAAATCACTATCACCTATCTCTTACTCTACTGCTTCTTTTGGAAAGTGGAAAAAGACCTCCAGATAACATACTGGTCTCTTTAACTTTTGCCTCCTTCCTTCCGCCCTCCCTCCCTCCCTCTTCCTTCCTTCCTTCCTTCCTTCCTTCCTTCCTTCCTTCCTTCCTTCCTTCCTTCCTTTCTTTCTTTCTTTCTTTCTTTCTTTCTTTCTTTCTTTCTTTCTTTCTTTCTTTCTTTCTTTCTTTCTTTCTTTCGAAAGCAGACCACAATAGGGTATGTGTTATTGACAGATGATGATTTTTTTTCTAATTTAGATGAAAGAACTATGAAATACTGATATTTGGTTGAGCATACTGAGCTGTTCTAAACCAAGACTTTTGATCGTAAATGTAGACCTGACAGGACTCTATATTCCCGATTGATAGATCATGTTGTCAGCCTCACATTTTCACTATTTTTTTGTTCTCCTTCTCTATGTGCCAAACCACCATTAAATCATAGATCCTAAATGTTGAACAAAGTGGAATATCTATGAATTAAAAATGAATTCTTTTCTTTTTTATTCACTTCTCTCATCCCATGCTACACTTTCCATCATTCATCTGGTTTTCTCAGTCTCTCATTAAATCTTAATTTTGATTTTTCTTTAGGTTCCTCACATTTTAAAGGAGACAGCCACAAAATGTCTTTGAGTTGAGAGCCAGAAAACCTGGTCTTGGTCTGATTTGCTATCCACTTTCTCTGTGACCTTGAGAACCTGTTTCACTCATCTTTCATAAAACAAAACATGCCACATTGTCTCTAAATTCCTTGCAACTCTAATTCTATTATTCCTGATTCTTTATCTAAAGATTTGTCCTTTTGATACTCTATTCTGAAAAATGAATCCCTTTCCTGACTTTTTTTAATTTGGCAAGTATTTTAATTATGTCCCTGTCTGCTTTATTTTATACCTAGGATTGTTTTAAAGATTATATAACTAATCTGCATTAAATATCCTAGCATAATCTCCTGTCTTTTCAAATCCTTCTTTTATTCTACCTTCTCCTCTTTCTCTTTACCATCCTTGTTTTTATTCTCTTTTGCATCCCAAAGCCCTCTTTGATTGTCCTATTATTTCATATCCTCAAACTTAATTCGTTAGTAAGATTTTTCATAAATTTATTGAACAGGTATATAGCTACCATGGGCCAGGCAACTGGGTTATTTTGTTGTTTTGGAGGGCTCAATAAATAAAATTCTCATTCTCTGCCTGAACTTGAAACTAGTTGAGAAGCATATTAAAGAAACTGAGAAATGAGGATCGAAAGATCCTCATAAAGCTGTTAGGTGTTACTTTTAGCCTGTTAGCCAAGTGACCAAAGGGGAAAGTAGTATTTCCACAAATCCTTTCAAATTCATCCATCAGCTGAGTTCCTCCTCTGTTGCTGGGGAAGGAGTAAGCATGAGAGTGGAGTTCGGGTGGGGACAAGAAAGAGGCCAGAGTGTTACTGATGCAGGTCCTGCCCCAGAACAACATAGGCCAGGCGGGAATGGGGGGTGATGGTTCCAGTGTACACTACACCAGGGATTGAAGACATGGCAGTAAGTAAGACAGCCAGAGCATCACTCTTGTGGAGTTCATAGTTTTTTTGAAGATAGAGGCTGACATGCAGTTAGAATGGGCTTGCATGTAATACAGAAATAAAGCCTGCCGTAGGAATATAAGAAAGGATTCCTTTCTCCAGGGAGACAAAGAAAGCTTCTCCTAGGAAGTAACACATAATGAGAGGTCTAATGATGAGAAGTGAGCAGGACAAAGCTGGCTGAGGAGATGAGAAGAGGGTTCCAGGCAATGAGAAAAGCAGAAGAAATTCGTGGCCCATTTGGAGAGTGAAGTATGGCAGAGACTGGACGATGAAGGTGGATGGCACTGGAAGAGGTGAAAGAGCAGGGATAGCCCAGATCTTGTAAGTTAGGACCTAGATTATACCCTAATGACAAGGAGAGGACACCGAGGGATTTTAAACATCTGTAAAACACCCCTATGAAAATGTCCATTTAACAACTGAGTCTAGACATCTAAAGAGAAGACTACATAGCATATATAAACTTGAAAATCATTGGTGAATAGATTATTACTGAATTTCAGAAAATGAATATAATTGCTTACTGAGTAAACATTGTGAGACCAGAGTAGAGTCTATGAATGATCCCCAATATTTAATCACTGGGTAGAAAATGCTGGAGAGCTAAGAACAAATCAGGAGCCAGGGAACAGAGTGTCTGGAGGTGAGAGAGACTTCACTGTCTAATATTGCTGAAACGTCAAGTAGGGTGAGGACTGAAAAAACTAGACAAACCCACTGTAATCTGCATCCATTTTTCTTCCAACTTACAATGGGAAAAAAAGAAATACAGTTTTCCTCTTTTTCCTACATTTTATTTCTTTATTGTTCATTTATAGATTTATCCTAAAATATTTCAGGTAAAAATTTTGTTTCAGAAACATTCTTAAACTCAGTCCAAGTCTCATTCCCCCACATCCGCAGCTTTTTTGAAATTATTTGGTTGATGTCACCAGCTCTAGCTATTAGGTGGGTTTATAATTAATGATGGACAGTTCCAATATTTTCAATTTAAAGTACAAGAAAGTGATAGCTATTAAGAGTGAGAGGAGACTGGAAGGGAGACTTTACAAAGACTAGAGGAGCAGGATAACTACAAATATATGTTAAGATAGTTCTGGGAATGGTCTACATTCTAACTGAGATTCGATTTAATTATTTTACAGTGGTGAACTTGTCTGGTTGGAGGCTCCATGGACCACATGAAAGTGAGACTTTGGGGAGCTCCATTCCATGCTGATGAATGGAACCAGGCTTTCGGCGGTGACCATGATGTAGGAAACACAGATGTTGCTTTATAATGTTGTGCACCTGAAACTTATATACATTTATAAACCAGTACTATCACAATAAAAATAAAGTATTGGAATTTATCCATCTTCAGAATTTTTCAAATAGATATATGATAAATAAACAAAATGCCAGAAACATGCATGTGAAGTTTAGTGCAGACATGGGTGTGAAAACAGGGGCTTTAAAATACAACCTGGATGGAGAACATAGCAAGTGTAGTTTCCAATAGGTTTGGAGGCATTGATATTCTGATGAGGTAAAAAGTTGCATGTAGATTAGCGGGTGTACTGTAAGGTTAGTGGATTTTGAAGAGGAAGTGTCTATATTTGCAAGCTCAGAGGCAAAGAAATTTCTGACTGTACCATGTTGTTGGATGGCCCTGGGAGATGGTATTTAAGAGGGAATGGAAGGGAAGATGAGACAGATGTGTACGAGGGAACATTCATGTTGATATTCTTCTATGCCCTTTAGTTTTATGGCAGCATGTGAGTTAGGTGAAATATTGCAAAGTCTTCCATGAATGGGAAGTTATGTCCTTCCCTGTAGTCCTCTCTCCATCATGTGTTAGTAAATCCTCTGTCTCTCTCCATGGAGATAGCTAGGATGGGAGTGCAATGGGGCCCCTGTCTTGTTAAATATATATCAGGCAGGAGGAAATAGCTTTGGTTATTGTCGTGAAGATGGTGGTACCCTCTCTCACATCACCATTGCAGCAGACACAAGTTTAGATATCCCTGTCCCTGAAATTCTAGTCTCATCTTTTGGACAGAGAAAGAGACTTAATTTTTCATAAATAAATTTTAATAATGTTAAAAATGATTAATATACATATTCCTAACATTTTATTCCACAGAAAGTGGAGGGGAAGGTCATGTCATCCCATGGCCATTCTCTTAACACATACACCATATTACATAGATTTCCAAGTCCTCCCTATGGCATATTTAGCTGCTTATATAGTCGATAAACATGTTATTTGATAAATACATCACAATAAAATGTATACTATAAAACACACATTTCTATTTTACCATGTCAGCAAAACTTTTAAACATTAGACATTAGAAATCAATACCACCACAGAGATATAATAAGCTAAATTCCTCATATGCATTCTCATTTCCTCTTTCTCTCTCTCTTCCTATCTCTCCCTCTTAATCTCTCTTTTTATAAACATGACAGATATAAATCTTCTTTTATTAGATAGTATAATTCTTATTATAATTTTACATCATATTTAGTAACTGGTTGATTAAAAATACAAAGTGGGAATTTTGTAGATATTAAAATAACAGTATAAGGAGAGGCACATTCAAACACCATTGAAGAGAATGTAAATAGATACAATTTGACATACCGATCAATAATAAAAATGCACAAACCCTTTGACCTGGAAATTCCACTCAAGGAAATTATAAATACACTAAAAAAATTCAAATACATATCCACAAGAAACATTCTGTATGGTATTTTTTTATAATAGCAAAACAAACAAATAAATGAAACTTAAAACAATCTCTCCATTACTAGAGTTGTAGTTGATTAAATTACAGTACAACCATACAATGAAATGTTATGTAGCCATTAAAAAGAATGAGGTAGCTCTGCTTGTGTTAATAAAAGATAAAAGATTTCCAAGACATATTGTATTATTAGCTTTCTATAAGTACAGAACAGCATTGTATCATTTTCTCATTTGTGTATTGATAAGGATATAAGTATGTATATGTAAGTATACATGTAAATATACACAAATACAACAGGTAAATAAATATGTCATAGGCACATAGAAATTTTCTGAGAAAATACACAAAACTTGTTAATGATTGTTTCTTCTGCAGAAGTATTTCTTGAGTAAAACAGTTTTTACTATTTACCATACTGAACAATTTGAATATTTTATCATGAGCATGTGCTTTCTTTGTAATAATATCACTTCTACAGAGAACTCGCTGGTCACAGCTAACATTCTAAAATTTCAACTATATAAGGATATGAAAGCAAATTCTTTAGAACATCTCTGTCTTCTAAAAATCTTTGAAAAACTAATTCCAAAATAGATCTTCCTTTCCAGAACTCTAAGAAAATCAAAACAGTAACTGTACTGTATTTTATCTTGATTCATTTCTCCTTATGCTAGATTCCAGCAATTTATAAAGTATGGAGACTCATACTATCATCTTTACTTTGTAACATCTGAGAGATCTTCAGAACCCTGTTTGTAGTATCATAGAGTGGATTACTCTTCTCCATATAACTTTCATAGGGCTGCATTTCATCCTAAGAAAAATTTCAAAGTCAAAATCAATTTAAAAAAGCCAAAAATCATTATAGAAACTACCTATGTTTTGGTAACAGGAGCCCACAGCTTTAATATCTACCAAGAGTGTTTATATTTGTGTCTCTGGGCTTATATGACCATAGAGCAAGACTTTTTTAATGTTGTATCAAAAAATGTTTATTGATTAAATAACTCCTGGTGTCAGATGATAAAGACTGAGTGAGAGTAGAGATGAAGAAGAATGAAGTGATATGAGAACTATTTCACGGAAGAGGAACAAATACTTAGTAAGCTACTGGTTAGAAGAGATTAGGGAGGAGAATAGGTTTTAAGCTTGGGTAAGAGGGAAATGATGATGGTATTTAAAAAAGAAAGTTAAGAATTAGAGATGGTTTCATAAGGGAGAAAACATCAATTCAGTTTCCCTAAAGATTAAAGTCTGAATGAAGCAAACATTGTATCTTTTGTAAGATGCAGTTCATGAAACAAAAATATGGATTTAAGGTATTATCTCAATGCAGTAATACTTGGTAGATAATTAACAAAATAAGCACAACTAACTATTAGCATTGTAAAATGAGAATTTTTGCTTTTCAACTAAAACATTAATATTGACAAAAATTACAAATTATGTGGCTAGATTTTCAAACTACATGGCTTAAAATTTACAAATATTCTTTTAAGTCTCATCTTACCTCCTCAACTGGGGTAGGATCTGTTTTCTTCAATTTACATTTTCTGTAAAAATAAAAATAAGTTGGATAGAATCACAGGAAATATTATTATTTACATTGAAAATGTAAAAACAAAGCGGTATACTATTGACAATTATGGTTCATTTTGATAGTAGCCATAATGAATCAGAAATGAACAATTAGAAATGAGTGAAGAAAACTGCTTGTAGTTAACACACACAAACAAGATAATTCTGGATTTTGGAAAAGGAAGTTAAATTATGCAACAGGAGCTTGCTGTAATAGAACATGTGTGACACCTGCTCTTTGGTACAAAAAATGAATTACAGTAATTCTTTTCCCAAATAGTAAATTAGTATGCACTGTCTTTCCCAAAATCCTGCCCTAAATGGCCTAATTCACTATGCTTTCATGCCTAGGTAAACTAGCAAAATCCCTCTCACCATTTAGAATAGTCCAAGTCTAACACCTTCAGAATATGAGAAAAATGATGTTAATTTTAACATCTTAATTTAATAAGATCATTAACATCTCAATTTTATGCAGTCAAATCCCCTTATCACAACCCCTTCCTAAACCAATAAAGCTGAAGAAGAAGAAGAAAATATCAGTCAATACCTGCAGCCAATGATTCTCAAAAGCCAAATGGATCCCATGATGACCAAGATAAAAATAGGGAGGATGATAAATAGAATTTTTAAGCTTTCTGATGTGTTGGCACCTGTATATATAGACACAAAAATACATGCTTTAATATAATTTAGCACTAAAAAGAAATGCTCCATTAAGCCATGAGAAGACATGGAGGAAGCTTAAAAGCATATTACTAAGTGCAAGAAGCCAGTCTGAAAAGGCTACATATTGTATGATTTCACCATATCATGAAAAGGCAAAACGATGGAGACAGTAAAAAAGATCAGGGGTTGCTAGAGGTTAGGGTGAAGAGAGAAATGAATAGGTGGAGCACAGAGGATTTTTAGGACAGTGAAACTGCTCTGGTGAATATGTCATTCATACATTTGTTAAAACTCATAGAATATGCACCTAGACTAAACCCTAGGTAAACTATGGACTTTGGGTGATAATGATGTGTTAATGTAGCTTCATCTATTATAACAAATGGACCACTGTGGTGCAGCGGATGTAGATAGAGGGCATTGTGTGCATGTGTTGGGGCTGGGGGTGTATAGGAACTCTCAGTATTTTTTACTCAATTTTGCTGCGAACCTAAAACTTCTCTTAAAAAATAAAAATATATTAAAAAAATAAAGTTCATATACATATACATGGTTCAAGGATGTTGCACAGTACATGAAATTCATTTCTGCAATTTTATTTCAAACACTTCTGACCGATCAATCATTAAAATAAAACTATTTTATCAATTGAGACTACAGTTTCCATCAAGACATCATCTTATGTCAGAATTTTGTTGCTCTACGGATTACTGAACGGTGAATTGCTATAGCAGAGATGTAAAATTTTGATCTCTCTGTTATAATAATAGCAGTATTTCACATCTTCAGGATTCAGAAATAAATAGAAAGTTGTAAGGGAGGTAGCTGGAGAAATCTAATTTTGAAGGCAGCAGAAGGCAATGAAGTAGGGGTGGAGCAGGCTGACATCCAATCCCTCCACCTTCCTTTAATATTTTGTGTTTAAACATGGGATTTTTCGATATTTCATTAGGAAAGAAACACGTGGTTTTACAGTTTAAAATAACAACCTTGTTTTGAAACTCTCTCCTTCATTGTGTTCTCTTTCATTGGAAGTGCGCCATCAAAAGCTAAAGATCCCCCGCAGGGAAGACATAGGAGATCCCCGCATTGTGTGGGAGTGGACATGCGGCCCCTTGAATTCTGAGATTCTATAAATATGACATCATATTGTGCTACTGGGTGGTCAGATTCCGTACATAACCAGGGCACAATTACTCTTCTCAGTAAATATTGCTAAACTCCTTAAAAACAAAAACAGCACTTTAAGAAAGAGTATTGGAAAGAGGCAGTTCAAACACATGGGTTTGTCACATCTCCCTTCTTAATACTTATTAAAATATCAGTAAAGAAATTTTTTAAAGTATACACTTGCAAGACAAAGAAAACATGGATGAAGTCAAGAACATACGACGTATTTCAAATTGTTTTTAAATGAAAAATGAACAGAAGAATGGCAAATAATTCAAAGTAAGATAAATAAAAAACCTTGGTGCCCACAGAAATTCAGGAATACTCTAGACTAAACATAGAAAAAGAGGTATATGGGAAGGGAAGATGCGGGCTAAGAGTTGGAGGCTTCTTTGAAGGTCTGCATTAAAAACAGGGAGCCGCCAAATCTCCCACTATGTGCAGCCAGGTCACTATACCTTTTGACCAAGAGAAAACAGGAAGTTTAACCCAGAGAAGATGAACTGGAGAGGCTCTAGAGTCAAGAGTCCAGACACAAACGGAGGGTGGAGATGAGGTGCCATTCTGAAGAGAGGTATTAAAGGCAAGTCGGAGTTCTGAACTGCCACACAGGCATCCCTGGTTCTCCCTGCTCTCAGAACACTGACAGCGCCGGACTAACTCCTCTAAAACAAGAGCCTGGAGTTGTTTTCTGCAGAACCTGAACAGCCTCAGAGAAAAGGCTTTCAGGTAAAGAAGGAATCCCCAATTATTTTTTAAAATTTATTTACCACGTTTTCACCCTATTGAAATTAACTGTTTGACAAGCCGATCCACAGGTAACATAAGTTCTAATCAGCTCACTTTTGAATGTTCACATTGAAATGAATGGATAACAAAGGATTACCAAAGAGTGAGGGAAAGCATCATATGTGAAAGAAAGACATTAAAACTAGTAAATGACTGGAAGGCAGAAAGAACTCAGATTAAATAGACATGGAATCAAGCAGAGGATCCAAGAAAAGAGGACGTTGAGGACGATAGCTGTGCAGTAGGTCTAACGGCCAATCTGTTCTAATTTAGAACAAGAAAATGTAAACACCCAAGAAGAGAAGTATTTAAGGGAAAAAAATGGGACCGATGGACTACCTAATAATCAAAACATAAAGTATGAACTTATCTCTTGATTTAGCACTCATCATTCATTTCCTGGTAAGGAAAAAAAAAACACCTAAAGATTTTAATATACTTGTTCCTAGGGAGTTGGGTTAGGATGGAGAGAGAGAGGTGGAGAATCAGGGAAAGAGCTCATCTTTTCATTATAAACATAACAAACAACTTGACTTTATGTGTGTGGTGATTAAAATAATATTTGATTTCTTAATAACCAAAGGGAGTAGACTGGAAGAAGAGATTAGTAAAACTGAACAACGATGAACTAATCATGAATGTTATGTTTAAAAAAGTTTAGCAAGAGCCTGAAGAAGAAAATTCTACTAGACTAAAATTTTGTGAAGAAAAGTCATGGGTGACTGTATCCTTCTGGTAAAAGTATCAGATTTTGTTTAAAGTTACACTTTATCCTTCTACTAAAACCCTACATATTCATTTAAAAGTACACTACTCAAGCCAATTTACTACCAGATAGAAATGAACATTAAATTGTTTTTATTTATATTATTAAAGATTAAACCTCATTCTAAATATGGCTTCCTACAACAAATTTCTGTATTATTCTTCTAGATACATTCTTGATGTAGGAGAAGGAGATAATGCAGAGGGTAGGGAGAACATCCTTGAGTGAAATTCTCTCCACATTCTCTGCCTTCTTACCATAAATCATCTGTAAGATTGGAAAGATCAAACACAAGACTAGAATTACTTACCTTCTTTCAGCTCTATGGACCTACTCCAGTTGCGAGCCTCGTGGGAAACAAAGCAGGTCACGGCAGATACATTGCTCTCTGCCCAGAAGCATGTACTCTGGACAGTCACTGTGCCATTTTCCCAATATTTATGCTCAGGGACACAATCTCCCTCTGGGGTCCAGAAGATATGAGCAGCTGGCTTCCCTGCAACTGCCTTGCACACCGCAGTTCTATTCTGGCTTTGAAACAGGGTCACCTCAGGGGTCACTGCAGAGATGGAGGAGAAAATGCTTTAGTCTTAACACATTAGATAGGGAACTTAAACAGGCATTTATTTCTTTCCCAAATCTGGTTGTCTGAAACAACGCAATGTATGTCCCTTACCTAACACTTGGAGGTAATATCCACGATGGAAATTCCCATCAGGTGTTACCACTTGACACATGTAAAACCCCTCATGAGCGATGACCACTGGATCAATCTGAAGGGCAACATTCTGGTCAGGTCTGTAGGTCCAGGTTATTCTCTCGTCAGTACAGTTTGCCTCTGCGGTCTCATTTTTATCTCTCCTGTGGGCTTTGATGCAGGGAGGCTTGTCTCTGAGGATTATTTCCCATGTTGTTACAACTGCTTTTGTCAACAGGACAGGAGGGCAAAAGAGCACAGCCTTTGTATCCTCCAATACAGTTAGGGAAGTATTAACTGGACAACATAGACACACATACAAAGAATGGTAAAAGGAAAGCTTAGTAAAGAACTTCATGTGTTAAATTTTCCATAACACATTACATAAAGTTTTACTAGAACACTGCTGGTGGTCCTAATCCAAGTTATTAGGCTTCTATTAAAAAATTAAACATTCATAAAGTATATATAACATATTAAACCGAATTTAAAGATTAACTCATCTTCTCATATTATGAGTTATTAGGTCAACAGTATGTATTACACGTGTGAGACATTTTTTCAAGTATTTTGAAATAAATTCAGGAGTTTCAATTTCTATGGAAAAAAACAAGAAAACAAAATTCTCAACTGAAAGACAGGACAATGAATCTTTTCATCAGAGACTATTATATTTTATAACTCAAGCTCCTCAGGGTAGAAAATGGAATAAATAGTGATATGGCTGTATCCTTCTAATTTTGATGAGAGAAAATAAATTAGTAATATCAAATCCAAATGCTTGCCCCTAAGGATAACACTTCAGACAAACACAACTATGGAAAGTAAATAGTATTAAAAATAACTAAGATGGCTTTGGCCATGTGGCTCAGTTGGTTAGAGCATCATCCCATATACCAAAAGTTTCTGGGTTCACTCCCTGGTCTGGGTGTATATGGGAGGCAACCTATGGATGTTTCTCACATCTCTCTCTCTCCCTCCCTCTCTTTCTCTCTCTCTCTCTCTCTCTCTCTCTATCTATCTCTCTCGCTCTCTCTCTCAAATCAATAGACATATACTCAGGTAAGGATTAAAAATAAAATTAAAACTAAGATGACATTTAGCTTGAATAAGATAAAAAAATGGGGGCGGGGAATAAGATAGATGGCAAAATCAGATTTTCCTTCCTTCAATACTTCTTGTTACTCCCAGAGTTCAACTGTAAACTTTCATCACATATTTTGTTCCCATATAATCACTCTAATTATGAGGATTAAATATAGATGGTGACTCCTTTTCTCCATCTTTTAAAGTAAAAATTAAGCCCGCAACCTGCAAGTAGTATTCAACATGGAAGCTCACATTTTTCCCATAAATTGACATAATGTGTCCATGACTGGTAGGGGTTTGCTGAGAGGTGATGAGGTGTACCTGCTGCAACCACCTGCAACAGAGGTGTCCATAATTTCATCACTTTAACATGAACCGAAACAGCTGTGCTGGGGCAAAATTTTTACATCAGCTGAGCTTGCTTGTGCTAAACTCTGCATTTGATATCTCTCCTTTCCTCTGTTGGTGTCACCTGCCTCTTCTGTGATGTACTCAGGCCTTTGAATTTTACAACCAATGATCATTTAACTAGGTGGGGAAGAGGGAGGATTTTAACGCAGATCTGAGTGGCAGTTAAACTCAAGCAGATGGCATCCCCTTACAGAGGGAAACTCCAACTTGGCAAAGGCTTAGAGGCGAGCAAGACATGGCTTGTTGGGAACAACTAGAGTTAGATGTGGGTAAGCAGACATGTGCACAAGGAAAGAGGCTGAAGACAAAACCAGAAGGAAAAGACTTGCGAGGAAGCAAGTTGCGAAAGCCCTCTTATGTTCTCACAGGAGTTGGAACTTTAGCTCGTAAACACTACAAGGCTTTCATCTTTTTGCCTCATATTTATCCTCTGGATCTGACTCTATTTTCTAGAAAGAAAGTACTGGCCAATCATAGAGACATATGCATTTTAACAGGGCCACAGTATCCAAAATAGTAACTCCAATGGTGAGGAATCTAAGCACAGTGGATGTTCTTTCACCTTCTTCCTTTCTATAACTTTCAATCAACCACCCTTCTCCTTTATGATAGTTCTTGCAGAGTTGCTATTATTTCACCCTTTCTCTGCCCCCCTTTTTCCTTGTTAATGCCTGTACTGATAATGTACAATGGCCAGTCACTCCCCTGTACTCGGTGGGTTTGGCACCTGTCTGCACAACTATTCTCCATCACTTCCAATCAGCTAGAATGATTTCACCTCCTACTTCACTGAGGAGAGAGAGGGTAGATTCTCGTATTTTCTCCAGAACCAGCACTCAGAGCCTGTCTTACCTGGATCCTTTGTCTATAAATATCTCCTCCTCTCACCCAGCCTTATGCACACAGACTACATCCAATTGACCTTTGGGCATTGCCATTCTTTTCTCACTACCATCCTCTAGTTTAAATCCCCATCGTCATGCACCTAGATCCTGCAAAAGGCTCCGAACTTCTGTCTCTGTCTCAAAACTCTCCTGTCTTCAGTTCACACCTGACACTAGAATGATGAACCAGGCCCATCATTCTATAAAACAGATGTGATTCACTCAGCTCAGACACCCTTCAGGGATCTCTCACTTCCTGAAGAAAACATTTAAGTGCCTTTATATTGACTTTGAAAGCCCTTTCTCAAATTGACTCACCTTTCCAATCTTATCACTCCCTACATTGCTCCCACCCTTCAGAAAGAAAAGACCAAGCACAAGTGCATTTATATGTCTTCCCTCACGTTGTTCCTGTGGTCTGGCGGGCCCTGCAAAAGTTCTTCGTCTACTATAATACTCGTCTTCCTTTAAGACCCACTTCATGTGATGCACCCTCTGTGAAGCCTTCTCTGAGCCTTGGTGCTAACAGCTCCCTCCTCCAGACTCCTGGTACACTTGACATGATCACACTGCTCATGTCTGTGTGCCCCCAGAAAACTGAGCTCCCTGAGGGCTCTCTCACAGTCTTGTTCGTCTTGCTCATCTTTGTGTTCCCTGTAAAGCCTAGCACAGTGCCTGGGGGAGAAAGCTCCATAATTTCCAAACAGAATTCGACTGCTTTGCGGGAGGAGGGGCAGTGTCATTCAGGGTCCCTCCCACCACAGCATTCAGATCACCACATTCCTATACTGGGCACCAGGCTGGCCCTCAGACCTACCACCGACTATGTTTCTAAGAAAATTCAACACTCTCTTTCTTCAGTTTTCCCTCTAAAGGAAAAAAAACAAAAATAGTATATTACCATCTGCAGGAAGTTTTGAATGTTTCTGCTTCCCGTCCACAGAAGAAGCTAGAAAAATATTTAGAGAAAAGTAAATGAAATCAATTTCAGGTAGTTCAGTGAAGGGGAAGCCACTATTTCTCCACAAAACTTATATACAACTTGATAGAAAATTAGTTAACCATAACTAAATTACATTAAATGACTTACCAAACAAATTAAAGTTATTTCATCACTTAATGAAATAATATATTAACGTTTGAAAATTACACTCATAAGCTATTAATCAATGATTTCCCATTTATGAGACACCTTGTTTAGTACTTGACTACTATTTTGTCTAAGGTAAGCCTGCCTCTGTCCCTTCCCTAGCCACAGTGGATTGGCCCATCATGGGTACCTCACATGAGCTAGGCTAATTACTGTGATTTAAGTTGTTTGGTCCAGTCATGGTCCCCTTACCCAACTGATCAAATTGAATATCTTCTTTAGAATTCTGAAACCAGAACTGAGAATAATAGTTCATTCTTCTTCCTTCACCATTTTTCCTACTGAAATGGTTAATTTTATGGCAACTCGGCTAGGCCAAATTTCCCAAATATTGAGTTAAACAGTATTCTAGGGCTTTTTCTGATGATATTTTTAGATGATATTGACATTTAAATCAGTAAGCTTAAGTAAAGCCAATTAATGCTTTATCAAATGTGGATGGGCCTCATGTAATCAGTCAAAGGCCTTAATTTTTAAAAATACTAAAAAGAGACATCAACTTCTGGTCAAGATGGAGGCATAGGTAGATACACTATGTCTCCTCACACAACCAAATGCATAACAACAACAAATTTAAAAACAAAAAACAACCAGAACTGCCAGAAAAATCAAACTCTATGATAGTTCAACAACCAAGAAGTTAAAGAATAAACATTCATCCAGACTGGTAGGAGAGATGGAGATGGGCAGCTAGGGTGGAGAGGACATGTGGCAAGGTGGCACCTGGAGGACCAGGCAAATGAGGTGGCTGCTGGCAGGCTAGGTGGTCCCCCATATGTGTGGAGATAAACTGGGAATAACAAAAGGGGAGCAAGACAGTGCAACCCAGAGTTTCAGCACAGGGAAGGAAAGTCTCAAAACCCCTGGCTGTAAAAACCTGTGGTGGTTGCGGCCATGGGAAAACTCCCAGCCTCACAGGAGTGTTCGTTGGCGAGACCCACAGGATACTAGAACGTACAAAAACCCACCCACCTGAGAATCAGCACTAGAAGGGCCCAATTTGTTTGTGGGTAGTGGGGGAAGTGACAGAAAACAGGGAGAGACCCAGGAAAGCAGCATAGTTTCCTCTCTGATCCCTCCCCAACATACAGTGCCACAACGCAGCAACATGGGTCTCCACATCCTGGTGAATACATAAGGCTCCGCCACTTACAATGTAACAGGAGTGCTGAGACAAAGAAATATGGTCCAAATGAAAGAAAAGATCAAAATTCCAAAAGAAATACAACTAAGCGATGAAGAGATAGCCAACCTATCAGAGTTCAAAACACTGGTAATCTGTATGCCCACAGAAATGGGGGAGTATGGTCGCAAAATAGAAGAAAGAGAGAAGGCTATGCAAAGTGAAATAAAGAAAAATATATAAGGAACCAACAGTGAAGGGAGGGAAACTGAAATTCAAATCAATGATTTGGAGCAGAAGGAAGAAGTAAACATTTAGCCAGAACTGAATGAAGAAACAAGAATTCAAAAAAATGAGGAGAGGCTTAGAAACCTCTGGGACAACTTTAAATGTCTGAACATCCAAATCATAGGGGTGCCAGAAGGAGAAGACAAAGGGCAAGAAATTGAAAACTAATTTGAAAAACTAATGGAGAACTTCCCCAATCTGGTGAAAGAAATAGCCTTCCAGGAAGTCCAGGAAGCTCAGAGTCCCAAAGAAGTTGGACCCAAGGAAGCACACACCAAGGCACATCATACTTACATTACCCAAGATGAAAGATAAGGGGAGAATCTTAAAAACAGCAAGAGAAAAGGAGACAGTAAGACTACAGCTGATTTCTCAAAAGAAACCCTACAAGCAAGAAGGGGCTGGAAAGAAGTATTCAAAGTCATGAAAGTCAAGGACCTACGTCCAAGATTACTCTATTCTGCAAAGCTCTCATTTAGAATGGAAGGGCAGAGAGTGTGCTTCCCAGATAAAGTCAAGTTAAAGAAATTCATCATCACCAAGCCATTATTATGTGAAATATTAAAGGGACTTACCTAAGAAAAAGAATATCAAAACTATGAACAGTAAAATGACAATAAACTCACAACTACCAACAACTAAACCTAAAAACAAAAACAAACTAAGCAAACATCTAGTACAGGAACAGAATCACAGAAATGGAGAACATATAGAGGGTTATCAATGAGGAGGCCGAGGGGAAGAATGGGGGAAAAGGTACAGGGAATAAGAAGCATAAGTGGTAGGTACAAAACAGAGAAGGGGAGGTTAAGAATAGTATAGAAAATGGAGAAGACAAAGAACTTACAGTATGATCCATGGACATGAACTAAGGTTGGGGGGCAATGCTGGTGGGAGGGGGGGTTCAGGGCAGAGAGGAATAAAGGCGAGAAAAAATTATACAATTGTAATAGCATAATCAATAAAATTTAGTTCAAAAGAAAATTGACTTCCTGGGAAAGGGAATGCTGCCAGCAAACTGCCTTCACATTTGAACTACATCTCTTTTCTGAGTCTCCGGGCTGCTGGCCCAACCTGCAGATTTTGGATTTGCCAAGCTTTTATAATCACATGAGCCAATCCCTTAAAATAAATCAATCTCTCTCTCTCTCTCTCTCTCTCCCCCCACACGCTCACGTGCGTGCACACACACACATGCACACATATGTTGTTGTTCTGGTTTTTGTTTTGTTTTTGAGAAATCCTGACTAATACATCTACATTGGGAATAAAGAAACAGAGGCAGAATGGGGTGGTGGGAGGTGTGGGATAAAGAGATAGAGAGAAAAAAAATAACAGTCTTCACCTAGCTCAAATTTCTAATTCCATAGTTCTCGAGATCCCCATGCATCCCTTTCTTTGGGTTTTACAGTGAGGTATTTCTGACATCAAAGTAGCCCTAATCTACTTGAAATTTGATTTCTGAAACACTTCTGTTTTGTGGAATTGTTTTTTAAAACAACAATGATTTTAAAAATATTCCTTATCATTTAAGGGCTTAAAAAATTTCTTCTTCTGGGTTGAACCATTCTATAAGCATTTATGAACCCTCTGGCTATAAAAATATACTCTTGCTCCATTCTAATTTTGCAGCCAGTTCTACCACATTAAAAAATAAACAAAGAAATTCAGTGAAGGTCTTAGAAATGAACAGCAAACAGACCTCTGCAATAATCTGGTTTTTCTAAGCAGCTGTTATTTAAAGCATCTAATCAATACTCCTGTGCCCTTTCTTTAATTTCTTCATATGAAACCAACTTGTCTTTTTTAACTTTATTTTTTATTGTTTCATTGTAATGGGGACTATAACAGATGTCCCCATTGCCCCCCCTTTGCCCACCTCCACCCAGCCCTCAACTCCCTCCCCTCTGGCCACCACCACACTGCTGTCTGTGTCTACAGGTTATGCATTGTATGTTCCTTGGCTAATCCCTTCACCTTCTTTCTTTCAAAAATTGAGTGAAAAATATTTTGAACATTGTTTAGTGATTATATTCTTGAAATAGTAATAAATAAGTGGAAAAATAATTTCAGAATAAAAAATTTACCAATAATCTTAAACATAAGTAGTATCTTTAGACAATACAATCTATAAATGCATACTCAACAATTAAACATCCTAAAATGTAAAAACTGTACAAGTGTCAAGCACTCTCCTATTAGAATTATCATTAAAAGATGAGCATTACCCAAACTGTTATTGTTCTGGCCCATTTGGTGCGTTGAGTTGCTTGATGTAGCAAAACTTCCCATTCCTGCACTTATGTACCCTGAAATAGGGTAGAGAGAGAAATATATATTAGTGTTTCTGATTCCTAGTCAAAACCACATTTTTTTCACATTCTTGAAGCCATTTTTGGATTGCAGTTGTCAATGAAAACACAAATTATGACAGGCAACAGAAGTCTCAAAAAAAATTGTGCCAGTATGAACTTTTGGTCTGATCTTCCTGCCTGTTTGTTATCCTCTTACTTCAAGCCCAGAATGCCTCTCACTACCTTCCTGTCTTGATATTTAAATCAAAGTATTTCTTCCCCCAGGCTTATATTCAATTAATCGATCTCTGTGGAGAAAGGATTTTATTATCTGTTACAGATTTTTAGGAACTAATGACAAGGTAGGAAAAGATTAGTAGTGTTGTGTTGATTAGATGCTGGCATGAAACAAAAAAAGGGTTTTCCTAAACATTGTTAAAATTACAATATGTGAACAATTATCTATCAATTTCATATTTTACAAGGCAAACTCTAAATGGCAATCACTATAAACATATTTTGAGCAGTAACTACTGGCAATGTACTTGCTAGGCACAGAAACACCATAATAATAAACAATACCTCTTCTCTCTAAGAGCTTAAGGTCCAGGCCAGGAAGCAGCTATGTAAAAAATGATAATGTAAAGTTTTCAGTGTAATGATAGAAGTATGCATAATGTCCAGAAGTTAAAAAGAAGAGACATTTAATCTAAGAGAGTACACATGAGAGATTAGGGAAGACTCCTTACAATAGAAGATATTTGAGCTGGATCTTAGCAGATGAGGAGCTTTCCAGGAAGATACAAGAAAAAAGAAAATTGCACACAGAAAGAATGGCATTTAGAAAAATGTGTAAAGTCACATGGGATTTTCAAAGAACTACAAACATTTCAATATTGCCAGAAAGTGAGAAAAATTGGGTGTGTGATTAGAGTTGAGGTTGGATATTGGCAGGCTCTAAGTGTGGAAGGCACAAGCTCCTAGATAGTTTTCACAGTGAAGTGATACACTCTGAGTGCATCTACAGTGAGCGTATCTGACTAGCAAAGAGAAACATTTTAGGATAAAATTTAATGCACAGTGCTTTTATGGAGAAATTTTGAATCCAGTGACCCTCTTGGTTACTATTTTCTTTAATAAAACATTCTTCTAAAGCAATACTTTTTGAGCACTTACACTTAAAAAACAAGTCTTTTTGGTAATTTGCTTATTTTTTTTATTTCAATCTCTCTATCCTGACAGGTATTATTATCTTCATTTTACACATAAAGAAATGTAGACTCACAGTGATGAAACAATTTGGCCAAGGCCACCCAGCATTTTAGCTGCTCCAGTTGCCCCATTATTCTTACACAGGCAGGTGTTAACTGCAGTGACTAGAAACCAAGGTTTGGCTCTTAAGAAATATGCTAGGATATATAGACTATCCAATGCTACATAAATTGAGAGTTGATGAAGCAAGTCCAAGCCATATTTTTATGGGAACACTGAAAGACAAAAAACCTGGAAAACTACATCAAATGGCAGGTCCATAGAATCAGAATTATCATGGCCTGTAGATTCAAGCACATGAATTTTGGATCAGAACTGGAAATAGTTAAGAGAATTTGAGAAAATTGTACAAATTCATGGGTCAAACCCATCACTCTTTCACTAAATTGAGAGCAGGGGTGTTCACCTGTGTTGTTCTTTCTGCATTCTCAAAGCTTAGTAGATTGGCTTACACAGCTTCCTGCATGTGGCTGTCTCAAGCTGGGTTAAAAATAAAGGTCAACACAACCCTATAGCAAACTGGACTAAAGATATCAGCAGCTACTTTATAGGAAAAAAAGTGCAAATGTCTCTTAATCATATAGAAAGATGCTCAACACCATTCATGCAGTAAGAAAAACGCAATTTACAACTATATATAAATACCATCTTTCACCACCAAAAGATTGTCAAAATACAAAATTTTGACAACATACTCTATTTGCAAAGCTGTGGAAAGATAGGAATGTCTATAGACTGCTGATGAGAATGTAAAATGTTACAACTTTAATCAAGGAAAATTTGACAATATATAGAAAAGTTACATATTTATTTTCCTTTTGATCCAACAATATCAGTTCTTGGAATCTATCCCAAAGATGCACTGGCAACAGTATGAAAAGATTATATACACAGGACTATTCATTCAACATGGTAATGGCAAGACTTTTAGAAATAATCCAAATAGCCACCCATAAGGAATTAGTTGTCTAATCCACAGTACACCCACAAAATGAAGGACAATGAAACTCTTTAAAAGAATGAGGGATAGCTCCATAAACAATTATGAAGTGACATCTAAGATACATTTGTTAAGTTAAAGAAGTAGGATAGATAAAAGTCTATATAGTATGTTATTATTAATCTAGGACATGAAGGGAGAGATATAAGTGAGTGTGTTTTGTTTCTTTTCTTGCTTATAATTTCAAAACAAAAAATAAAATGGGACAGGAATAGAAATAAGATATCTCTGACTGTACTTGATTTTATAGAATTGACTTTGGAACCATATAACCATTTTACATAATTATAAAACATAATCAAATTTTTGTAAACACTAAAACTATTTTAAAAATGATGCAATTGAACCTAAGTGCATGTAGAGTTGGTTGGATAATCACTTATAGAGGAACCACCCAAGTGACTTTTAAAACATAGTGATGTCACTGTATGCCTCTATGGAACATAATGACAAAAATGCAAAACAAAAACTATTTTCAATAATCATTTTCTTGATGGCAGTGTTTGGTATTTTTATTCTCAAATTGGTCTATATGTTTTGAGAGATAAATAAAAGGAGTTATTACATTGGCACCATTCAATCTTTCAATGTGGGAGAAAAGTTATAGATGTAAAAATGAATAAATTTAAGTAAAAACCCTAAGTACTAAATTTGAATCAAAAATATCAGTATCAACTTATAATGTGTTTTATCTTTTAAAATACAAATTCCTGCCTTGACCAATGTGACTCAGTTGGTTGGGCATTGTCCTGCAAAGTAAAAGTGCCCGTTCGATTCCTGGTCAGGGCACATGCCTGGGTTATGGGTTCAGTCCCCAGTCAAGGTATGTATGAGAAGCAACCAATTGATGTTTCTCTTTCACATCGATGTTTCTCTCCCTCTCTTTCTCCCTCGCTTCCCCTCTCTCTAAATAAATAAATATATTCTTTAAAATACATATTCCCTATATGCAGCTAAGTTATGGGTGAATTCATTACATCGCAATAGATAATTACTAATATGGCTACCAACTGCATTAACCTACTGACATTTTTAGAACCCTCTACCCAACAGCTGCAGAATACGCATTCTTTGCAAGTGCACATGGTATATTCACCAACTTTAATCACATTCTGGACCATAAAGCAAGTCTCAAAAAACTTTTAAAAACTGAAACTGTTTTTAGAAACCTCCAATTATTTGGAAATTAAACATGTTTCTAAGTAAGTTGGTCAAAGGAGAAATTTAAAAGGAAATTATGATTTTGAACTGAATGATAGTAAAAATATGAGGTCTGTCTGGAAAAAGTCCAGCCATCATTACTATCATGAGAATGGTTTGCATAACCTCATTGTAATGTGGCAGCCAAGGAGAGTGGACTGGAATGCACATGCATGAACAGTGAAGACTTCACTGTACTAGTCAGTGGGCATGGTAGATGCCATTGAGTGAGCATGTATACTGTGTGGCTGTCACATTCAAAATGACTGAGCAATGAGAGCAATGAATCTGCATCAAATTCTGCATCAAGCTTGAGCATTCCTCTTTGGAAACTATTCAGATAATTCAGGAGGCTGCAGCTATGGGCAACTCGAATTGGCATCTTCATCACAACAACATGCCCACTCATGTATCATGTCTCATGCAGAGTTTTTTTGTGAAACATCAAATCACCCAGGTGGACTTAGTCCTACTACAGCCCAGATATGGTGCCCCTACAACTTCTTGCTTTTTCCAAAACTAAAATCACCTTTGAAAGGGAAGAGATTTCAGACTATTGATAAAATTCAGGAAAGTATGACAGTGAAGCTGATGGCAACTGAGAAAACTGTGTGAGGTCCCAAGGTGCCTATTTTGAAGGGAACTGAGGCATCCTTGCCCTGTGTACAATGTTTCTTGTATCTTCTTCAATAAATGTCTCTATTTTTCATATTGCATGGCTGGATAACTCCTAGACAGACCTTGTACAACACAAAATTTGTGATTTGCAGCTAAAGCAATGCTTACAGGGAAAATAATAAATTTTTTAATTTTATTTTAATTTATTTTTTCAAATACATTTGTCTCTGCCTCCCCCCCACCACTTTCCCTTGCCCCCTCCCTCCTTCCCTCCTTCAGCTCTTCCCCTTTGGTTTTGTCCATGAGTCCTTGCTATATGTTCCTTGACTTTCCCCTTCCCTTCCTTTTCCCTGCCCCCCTCCCTCCTTCCCTCTTGTCTCTGTTGATTTCTTTTCCTTTCAGTGTTGCTGGTCTTATTTTCCTTGCATCATTTCCTTATCTTTCCTTGGTTAGGTTTCTGCATGGCAAAAGAAAACATCAGCAAAATCAAAAGGGAGCCAACCCCATGGGAAAATATATTCACTAATGATACATCAGATAGAAGTTTGATCTCCAAGATATATAAAGAACTCACTCGACTCCACTCCAAGAAGACAAACAATCCAATCAAAAATTGGGCAAAGGACCTGGGCAGACACTTTTCCAAGGAGGAGCTACAGAGGGCCTAGAGGCATTTGAAAGGATGCTCAGCATCACTAGCCATCAGAGAAATGCAAATCAAAACCACCATGAGGTACCACCTCACACCGGTCAGAATGGCCATCATAAACAGATCAACAAACAACAGGTGCTGGCGAGGCTGTGGAGAAAAGGAAACCCTAGTACACTGTTGGTGGGAATGCAAACTGGTGCAGCCTCTGTGGAATTTCCTCAAAAAGCTGAAAATGGAACTGCCTTTTGATCCAGTGATTCCCCTGCTGGGACT